ACACACACACACACACACACACACAAAGCACCAACAAAAACATGGCCCCAAATAGACCACGAAAAGGACACTTGCTCACGGTATGAGAGATGAAACAAGAAAGCTGAGCGTTGCCTTGTTCAGCCTCAGCTGGGAATGTGCACCAGAGCAAAGGGAAATTTCCCCACTCTGTGCATGCATGTGTTCACAGATGACCTTGAGAGCACCTCAAGTATCGATTTGGGGGTTACAACTAAATTTTAGGAGTAGGCAGATTTGCAAATATGGAATCCATGAATAATGAGAACTGACTGTGTCTTTATTTTTTCTGATTATAAAATTAAATATTAAACAAATAAATAAGTAAAAACAGAGCTATACATACAATGAAAAAGTTAAAGCTACGCCCCCTAACCCCAATCCTAGCTCATAGATAAACACAGTTAGAATTGCTCTAGGGGGTCTAGAGATTTTTGCTATGCAAGTAATGTCTGTGCACAGATGCATGACTATGTGTGTCTGTGTCTGTATGTATTTTGTTTAGGTCTTCCTTTTTTTTCAATATCTCTTTAATAGATATCCCCCCAAAAAATACTGATGATATTTTTTACAGTATAAATGGAAGCAGATGGCATACACTGCAGTCAGGATCTCCAAACCTTAGGTCAAGACCTCTCAACCACATCAGGTTAGGGAAACAGATCCAGGAAGATGACTTGCCAAACTTAAATACAACCAACAGTCTGAGTGAGTGCAGGGCTCTGCATCTTAACTGAGATGGAGTAAGATCAGAAGAACAGCTCAAAGGGTAAAAACACTAAAGGCTAGAAAGGTCAAAGAGACTGAGACTCTCAGCCAGAGAAACCCATCTTCTTTATACTTGGGAAGATATTGGAGCAAGATAGTAAAAGGAACTTGGCTCCTGAAAGGATTCAGACAATAGCATAAAGCACTACCAGAGCCTCTTCTAAGACAGCGGTACAATGCATGGAGTAGGCTAAACTGCAGCAAGAAAGACACCCCAAAAACAACAGCTCTTAGAAAATGGAAATGTATTTCTCACTCTCTAGTCCACGTTGGTGGGTGGCTCCCCTCCAAGTAGTCTTTCCGGAACCAGTTTCCTTCCATATCTTTGCTCTGCTAGCCCCTTTGAAGGACTATTGAAGCTGAGGCCCAGCACGTCTATGTTCCAACTCAAAGCAGGAGGAAGTGGAACATGGAAGCACAAAAGCCCAATGCTTTAAGGATTATTTCTATTCCCATGCTTGGAAAGGACTTACTCACAAAGCACACTCGGCCGCAATAGCAGCTGAAAACTGCAGTCTCTACCACACCATTTCTCTGAGAACTGTATTGCCATAGAAAAGCAGGATGGGTTTTGGTGGACAACTAACAAATTCCATCACATCTCCTTTCTCTGAGCCTCAATATCTTCTTCTATAAAGTGGAGTAATAATATCTAGTAGTTAAGATTGCTATGAGGCTCAGACCTAACCAATTAAGTGAGAATGCTCAATAAAGTGAGAGAGTGCTCAGTAAACTGTGCTTGACTTATTTTGTTTTGTTTTGATTTTTCATTGTTTTCCTTCTGGACTGCATGCTCCTTAGTAGGAAGGGGCCATAGTTCATTCCATCCCTTAGCACAAGTCCTGCCCAGAGTCAATATCAGTAAATGCCTTAAGGACTATTTCTCATTTCATTCTCCTGCAAAGGACTTAGTTACAAAGCCACACTCAGCTGCAGGAGCAGCTGGGAAGTGCAGTCTCTAGCAGACCAGCCACTGTGTTGCTGTAGAAGAGGAGGGTTGATCACATGTTGAATAAATGAAGCCTATTTCTTCCATCATCAAGCTTTGTTTCATTGCACTACAAACACTTCAATAATTTAGATCCTGCCCTCTTTACAATATATATATATATAATATGGGGATGCATTTCATTTGGGATTCTTTTGGTTGCCAAGTGACAGCACACTGCTATTAAACTTGCTTAAGCAATAAGATGGACCATCTCATATAACCAAAAGCCTAGGCTCTGTGTCAGAGCACCAGCATTTTCCCCAGGATTCTAGGGGCTTCAATCATATGTTGGCTGCATCCTCAGGCTGGCAGCAAGATGGCTGTTGCAATTCCAAGCGTCACCACCAAATACATCCACTCTCAGCAAAGGCGGCAGACTGTTTTTTTAAAGGGGAGAGACCCTTTGGAAAAATCACTTCCCAATCATGGGCTTCCCCTTCTGGTTTTTCAGGCCAGACCTGCATCACATGTCTGAGCCCAACCCATCACTGGCAAAAGAAACACAACCGCCATGATGGACTTGGATCAAACGGGACTTAATTCTGGAGATGGGCTGGGGTCAGCCTTCCCTTGGTTACACAGGTAAGGGGGCCACCTGAACAAATCAGGCCTCTCACTGCAAAGGAAAAGTTAGGACTGGTTGTTGCATAAGCTACCAACTTGTTTCTGTCAGTGATGGAAACACAGGACCAGGTGATGATGATACAATGAAGGACAAGTAGCAGAGGAGTAAACTTTGTTTCATAAATCGTACCTCAATAAACTTTAACACCAGTGAAGACATTTCTGGAGGAGGCAGAAATTGGGAGCCATGCTCAATGCCTCTTTCTCTCTCAACATCATATCCAATCCATTACAAATTCCAGAGTGTCTATACTTTCAATACCCTGGCCTTCTCTCCTTACCCACTGTCATGGCCCCAGTTTAGGTCTCCTGCAGGCACTGTGACAACAGTGACGTAGCTGGTGCCCAGTCTCTCTTCCTGCAATCCGTATCTTTGCTGCTGTTACTCACCTTTACTGTGTGCCGAGCCATGCACATATGCAGGCACATCAGAACGGGTCCCTACCTTCACTTTGCTCATGGTATAGTGAGCATTTACTTGACTCCTTATAACCCACATCACCCCAGGTCATTCCCTTGCTTGAAAGCCCCAGGCCTTCAGGAAATCCTTTGCCATGACCCTCAACACCCTCCTCTACTTGCCTTCCCCACTACACCCCAACAGTACAGAACTACTTGCACTTCCCCCAAATGCATCCTCCCATTTCACGCCTCTATGCTTTTGCACAGGCTTGCTGTCTCCTCTGCCTAGAAATCCCTTATTCCCTCTCCATCTGGCATACAAGACAAGGTGTCCTTTACTTTCTCCCTGTCTCTGGTTCCCCTCTCCTCCCACCCACAGAAATAAATACAGCACTCCACAAATGTTTGCAGAATGGAAGCAACTTCTTGGGTCAGACATTAGCCAGGCCAGGGCTTTCCAGAGTTTTTCCCCAAGTATTAAGAAAGTGAAGAGGAAATGGGACTCTAGAACTTGGAGGTGTGACAGTCTTGAACTTGCTCTAAGCAAGCAGGACATTTCTCGAGTTTTATTTTTACATCTTATTCAAAAGTTTATTCTATGTAGATTATATGACATATCCTTGTTTTCATAAAAAATACAATTTTTCCCAAATCTTCAAACTGATGATAAAGATGCTCCTTGTTTTTTCGTTATCCTCTTAAATGAACTGTTCCCCGCCCCGCTTCAGGGACCCTAAGCGAGACCTGGATGTTGTTCCATGTGCAGATCCTGAAGGAACAGCTGGGTTTTTCTCCCCAGGGATGAGAATGGTGGGTCGGGGAGGGGTCCGCCGGCTGGAGGTCTGGCCACGCCCCTCCTCTCCCCCGCCCGCCGCGGGGGCGGAGTCGCTTGGGCCCCGCCCGCGGGGGCGGGGAGGGAGCCAAGGCCGCCGGCCGCTCGCGCTCGGCTGGTTCCGGGTTGAGAAGCGGCGCTCGGACTGGAGCAGTGGCTGCTGAAACAGCGCGGGTAAGGGCCACGCCGGACCGAGTGTTGGGGCAGGGACCCGGCAGCGGAGCGTGCTTACACCCCTCCTCTTTTCTGCCAGGCACAGCCGTGATACGGCGCCTCCTGACTTCCCCCTCCCTCAGAATTCCCCATCCCCAGCTTCTCCCCCTCCCCCCATTGCACCCATCCCGGGATTTTGGCCCCCCTAAGGCCTCCACATCCCCACCCGGATCCCCTTCTTCTAGGACCCATCCCTTCACACTGCCCCTTCTCTACAGCCTCCTTGCCTGGAGCGCCTTTCCTCAGACACCCGCGGCCCCTCCCTCCAGCACCCATCGCTCCGGATCACCCCACTACCTCGAGACCACCTTCCTGGGCTCGCATCCTGAGTAGTCTCTACCTCGCACCCTCTCCTCGCGTTGCCTCCTCCAGGAGAGCCCCCCTTCCCTCTCCTGAAGTTCCTACTCCAACCTCTCCCGGCCTGATTGCCGCACCCACCCCTCGGTGCTGCTCCCGACAGCGCCGCGCTCTCAGCCGCCCCCCGCCCCCTGCATCTCAAGCCCCACTCTCCGCTGCCCCCGGCTCCATGGCGTGCAGCCTCAAGGACGAGCTGCTCTGTTCCATCTGCCTGAGCATCTACCAGGACCCGGTGAGCCTGGGCTGCGAGCACTACTTCTGCCGCCGCTGCATCACCGAGCACTGGGTGCGGCAGGAGGCGCAGGGCGCCCGCGACTGCCCAGAGTGCCGGCGCACGTTCGCCGAGCCCGCGCTCGCGCCCAGCCTCAAGCTGGCCAACATCGTGGAGCGCTACAGCGCCTTCCCGCTGGATGCCATCCTCAACGCGCGCCGCGCCGCGCGACCCTGCCAGGCACACGACAAGGTCAAGCTCTTCTGCCTCACGGACCGCGCGCTGCTGTGCTTCTTCTGCGATGAGCCCGCGCTGCACGAGCAGCATCAGGTCACCGGCATCGACGATGCCTTCGAGGAGTTGCAGGTGAGCCGCCGGACCGGCCGGGGGCGGCCCCGGGGGCGGGGCCAGGTTTGGACCGTGGGCAGGGCCCGGTCAGGATTGTCACCGGGCGGGGGCGTTAGGAGGGTCAGGGCCCTATCAGAATTAGGATGGGGCGGGGATGGGGCGGGGTCTCGGCCAGGATGTCGGGGTGGAGTGTTGGGGGCGGAGCGTTGGGCCGTGTAACCGCCGGGGTCTGAGACCTGAACGTGGGCTGGGGTGATCACCACTGGAGTGGGACGGTGAGGACAAATGAAATAAGAGCTGGCCAGGTACCGACCGGGGGAGGGTTGGGGATGCGGCTGAGTCAGAGTTGGGCAAGAGCAGGGCCACTCTTAGGGGTCGTGGGGCCTAGGCCTGGAGACAAGCCCCACATAAGAATGGTTCAGGACAGAGTTGGGCACAAAGACACAGATGCGGATAGGAACACAGTCAAGGCTAGACAGGGGGCGGGGCCGCCCCCCGAGGATGGGTCTGCACTGTAAGAGTACCTGAGGGTGCACGATGGGGCGGGGCTCAATCAGGTGTACATCAGGGCTTAGTAGGCAGGACTAGGGCTAGATAGCACTGAGTAGATTAGGGTTAAAACTAAGAAAGGGTCTAAATTAAGGTCAACAAACTGCTGAGAGGGTGGGTTTAGGTGCCAAGGGCTAGGCAAAAGAGTGTAAGGGATTTATAGTTGGGATCAGGTCCAGATACTATAAGAACCATTTTGTTGACCCAGAGTAGAGGCCAGGTTGAGAGTAGCAACAGGACTTCAAGACTCAAGATTTGGAGAATAAGGTCCTGCTTTGAGAAAGGGTAGGGAGTGCACCTCTAGGAGTCTCCAGGGGCCTTTGATGACCTCCTTGGCTCTGTCACCCACAGCAGGACCTTTGAGGACTAAGTGAAAGAGTACACACAGGGTAACCTGAGCATAGTCAGCTATGGACTATAATTGGTCTCCCTTAAACGTTCTCATCTCCACTGACCAACTCCTATTCAACTCTCAAAGCCCTGCTCAAATGTCTTTTCCATGTAAGCCTTCCCCAAACTCCACTAGCCAAAAAAATAGCATTAGAGCTGCATTTTGCCAAATGTTCTCTGTTAATAAGTATGATGTTTTAAAAAATAGTGTTGCAAGATTAGCTATATTTGAGAAATACAATGTATTCTCTATACCCTCCTTGGAAGATTCTTGGTGTACATTGGCATATTAAAGGCTTAGAGAAGAAACCTTGTAGCAAAGAAACCCATTTTGCTGTGATTAATAAAATGGTTCCCAAGCTTATTTGAGCCTGGAATCTTTTCCTCAAGCTACACCATTTAAATCCAGCAGTTCTGGGATACCAGTCTAGCTCACAGTTCCCCAATAGTAGGAACAATCTTTTATTCATCATATTTATAATTCCAGAGCCCAACACAAGGCTTGACCCAGAGTACAAATCAGCAAAGGTTGAATGAATAACCTACGCTGACCATGGGCTGGCCCAGAGTGTGGAGCTTTTGGAAGCAGAGGTGTTGACTCAAACATTTTATGAAAAATGCTGTGGGCTAATTTGGAAGGTAGTGAGCTCTCTGGCCCTCAAGATGCTTAAACAGGAGCTAAATAACTACTTTCCATTATGTAGGGGGTTACCCCCTCCTTATACACAGTCTTGATGAGTCCGCCTGCACCTTGCAGATGTCCATGGAGGTGAGCATTGGCCTCAGGAGAAATGGTCTTATGTTTACCATCACCCCCTCCCTCTCCCTTTCATCCCTAAACCATGACTGACTCCCCTTCTGGTCTGGCTTGTTGAGGATGGAGAGCAAGGGTTGAGGGTACTGGGAGCTTGCACAAGGCTGGCATTGGCCCTCCACACCCAGAGCCCCTTGTGCCAAGCACTGATATCCCCATCTCCCTGTTTATTAAGTCACATAAACAGGGAGGACAGAACCTTTGACTGGGCTCAAGTTGTGAGAGTTTAAAGGGACTCTCTGCAACCATGTGCCCAACCTCTTTGTTATACAGATGTGGACACTGAGGCCCAGAGAGGTGGTGTGACTTACCCTCTGCCAGACAATGAGAGCCGGGCTAGAAAGCACAGCCTGACCCCGGCCAGATCCCTCCTCCCTTTCCGCTCACCCCCTCCTCTCCCTGTCTGACTTTATAGATAGAGAGGCCTCTGCCTTCTGAGCCTTGGTTCCCTTATCTGCAATCAGATATTATTGGAAATCAGGATTGTTTTGCAGTCTATTCCATGTCCTGGAGAATGCAGGAGAAATTGAAGATACACGTTTTCCAAACATTATTGAAACACTTTCATTCTTGGGTGAAAAGAATAACAGGACTGCCACTTACTCTCTAGTATGCTGTCCTGAACTGACACACTTGGGTTCCAAACCTTCTTTCAGCCCTGTCTGTGTAACTCAGCAAGTCACTTCATATAAGCCTTTATGCTGTCTTCTGTAAACTGGGGTCAGAATGATTCTTTCCCACCAGGATTTTCTTGAGGCTGACCTGAGATGAACCTGCTATGAGAGATGCCTGGCACATGGTAGGGGCTGGGTGAGCATGCACGGCCATCCTTTCTCCTTCTACGGGTGAGATCTGATGTGCCCAGCTAAGTGAATGCCCAGACCCACCTTTCTTGCCTAAGAAGCAGTCCTGGCTTGAGTGCCTCCTTTGGTCTTGGCAAGAAGGTGGCAGAGAAACATGCCTCCCCACTGGAGAGGTAAGCTCCTGGGTAAAGTTCAAGTCACTCCCACCTCTATGTGGCTCTCTCTCTCCTTGGGGGGAAGCAGGGCTCATTAGCTATTTATGTACTGGGAATGAAGCTGAACCTGCCTGTCACACCTTCTCCCCTCCCAGCTGCTGGTGGTTCAGTCCCTAGGGCCCTGGGAGCCTGGGCTTGGGCCCTCTTCTGGAGAATAACAGACTCAGAGTTGGCAGGGCCTTGGAGATCTGGTGCAACCTTCGCTTGACAGATGGGGAAATGGCAGAGGTGGAGGGAGAGGGCCTTACCAAAGGCATCAAGGCCAGAGGGGGTTATGCCTGGACCCAGCTGGGTAGTCTCCTAGCCTAGCAGGTGACCTGGAGTTTTTACACATTACAAATCCTAAAGTCAGCAGAGCAGAAACGTTAAGAGCCCTGGCTTTGTATTCAGGCAGCTCCAGTCCTAGCTCTACCATTTTCTGGCTGTGTGACCTTAGGAAAGTCACTTACCATCTCTGAGCCCCAGTCTCTCATAGACAGCATGGGAGTAACAGGGTTGGGGTAAATAAGATGGCATTTATAAGAACTTAGTACTGCACCTGGCACATAGTAAGCCCTCAATAAATGACAGCTCTTGTATGTTACATCATATTTTGCACTATTGACATTTGGGGCCAAATAAGTCTTTGTTGTGCCAGGCCATCTGTACTTGTAAAATGTTTAGCAGCATTTCTGGCCTCTACCCACTAGATGCCAGTACCACCACCACCACCACCCAAGCTATGACAACCAAAAATGTCTCTAGACTTCATCAAATGTCCCCTGGGATGAAAATCACCCCCCTGTTGAGAATGCTAGCCTAGAGAAAGAAGTCCTACTTAGTCTTCCAGTCTCAACTCAAATATCACCTCCTCCATGAAGCTCTACCTGACCTGCCAAGCAGAATTGCATTGTACTCCAGGTTCCAGTACTGGCGTCAGATCCCGGCATCATCATGGATGAGCTGTGTGTCCTTGGTCAGGTCATTTCACTTCTCTAAGCCTCCACCTGCTCATCTATAACATAGGGATAATATGACCTTCCTGGTAAGGATGTTATAAGGGTTAGAGGTGCTATGTCTAAAGTATCTGGTATGATGCCTGGCCCAGTCGTATACCACAATTTTTAAATATCTTTAGTTTTTCTGACTGTAAAATTAACATAATAAAAAGAGCTATATAATGTAAAAGTTAAAGTTCCCCCAGAATTCCACTCCATAGAAAACCATGGTTAGGATTGTTTTTTAGTTATACGGAATTTTTGTTGTGTAAATAGCATGTGAGCATGTGTGTATGCACATGCCTTCCCTTTTTTTCATTGCTGAGCACTGGACCACAGAGCAAAGTTCAGGGAGGGAGCCCCATCTCAGAAGCTTTGGGGTTTCTCGGCCAATACTTATTGAGCCGCACTAAGCACTTTTCCTGTGTGACTTCATTCAATCTTCAGAACAGCCTGCCAGGTGGGTACCATGATTCACTCCTTTTACAGATAAGGAAATAGAGGCTCAGAGGAATTCAGTGACTTGTTCGGTCACCCAGCTAGCTGGCAAATGGTAGGGACAGGATTATAAACTAGTCTGCATGGGCCACTTATAGCCTCCAAGCTGCTCCCAAAGGCGGGTCATTATCTCCCCTCACCCTGCCTGTCTTTGTATTTCAAGTACTCAGGACAGGGTCAGGCTAAGGACACAGTCTGTCTGTGCCAGCTGATGCACCAAGGGCAGGTGGCTAGATGTCATCTTGGTCAGGCATGGCATTTGGCTCTCTGGCCATCTCAACTTCCTAATCTCCAGAGAAGGGATCGGATTCAGTCCCAGCCACCCTCTCCAGGCCTCATGTGACCACTGGAGCCTTTCCCAAGTCCTCCTTCATGCCAAGGGAGATAGCAGAGGATCAGTCTTGGATGAGAGCCCTGACAAGCAGGGCACAGTGATCCAGAGATGCTGACACAGTCACACAGGACAAGAGCAGGGTTAGGGGACTGGGTTTGAATCCTGCCTCTTGCTTTTTCCAGCTTTGCCTTCTCTGCATCCTTTCCCAATCTGTGAAATGGGAGTAAGAATGAGACTGTTCACTTAATGTGTGAAGGAGAGAGTGTTGCTGCCTATTCATAGAGCCACTTTATTTTATATAGTGGACAGGGAGGCAGCTAGGTTGTCTGTGTCCCAGGGAAGTAGCCTCTGCTGTTACTTCTTCCAGGAGAAGACAGGATATATGTGCAAACAGCAGCCTCCATGGGGGCAAGGCTGGTCATGAGTCAAACCCACACA